GCTGTTCTTTTGTTGCAGTTTGGCCGGTGCTGAGTTTGCACCCGCCACCCTCTGTATATGGGGCTGGTGCCCTACCTACTGAGCTACAGGCGCCGCCCCAGTGGTTTTTTTAAACATGTGTTTCCATTGAAAGTCTAAGAAAAAGGGAGACTTCCATTTTGGAATAGAAATGGTATGGTATGTTGGGTTTCATAGCAAAAAATTTTGTGGGATTTTAGACTTGAGATAGTTTTTTTCCCTGAGTGTAAGTTAGGAAACACAAGGAATTGAGGGAGTGATTATTACTGCTTTTCTTCCTGCCTGAGTTTTGAGTGCATCTTTGTTTTTCTACCAGAACTTGGTCAGGTGGACAAAAAACTCATCATAAAGCTTTTTTTCTATTTTTAACAAGTGCTTAAAAAAATTATAGTAAAGGTGTGTGAGTTGAAATTGATTTTAATTTTTTTTTTTTTTTTTTGAGACAAGAGTCTCATGCTGTCACCCTGGGTAGAATACCATGGCATCACAGCTCACAGCAACCTCAAACTTGGCTCAAGCGATTCTCTTGCCTCAGCCTGCTAAGTAGCTGGGACTACAGGCCCCTGCTGCAATGCCTGGCTATTTTTTTTTGTTGTTGTTGCAGTTGTTACTGTTGTTTTTTTAGCTGGCCTAGGCTGGGTTGAAACCCACCAGCCTGAGTGTATGTGGCTGGTGCCCTACCCAGTGAGCTATGGGCGCCACCTTTAGAATTTTTTTTTTTATTTTTAAGAAACAAGAGTCTCACTTTTTGTTGCCCTCGGTAGAGTGCTGTGGCATCGCAGCTTACAGCAACCTCCAGCTCTTGGGCTTAGGCGATTCTCTTGCCTCAGCCTCCTGAGTAGCTGGGATTACAGGTGCCTGCCATAATGCGTGGCTATTTTTGTTGCAGTTTGGCAGGGGCTGGCGCCTTACCCACTGAGCCACAGGCACCACCCAAACTTTAATTTTCTTTTTTTTAAGTCAGATTTTCCTTATTTGCAGTGTCCCAACTTGATTTTATTTACCTTTGAAGCAAATGGTTGGAGCTAAGACATTTCCTACATAGTTCAAGAAAGATTTAATTCTGTTGTACTTCACAAATAGTGAATGAAATGGATAGAACATCTTAGTGCTGAAATGCTGATTTTAGATTTCTTGTGATATAATTAAGACAGACTAGATCAGTACAGGATGGCATAGCTTGGTAATTAAAATACTATCTGTTTTTAAGGAAAGAAAAGTTTTACCAATTAGAGATAAAAACAAAAATCAAAGTGCAGCCCTACACGTTGAACTTAGGCTTTGTTCTCGCGTGTGGTGTCTAGACTGCCCATCCTCTTGCTGCCATAGGGTATTCTGAATTGTCATTGATTTCTTTCGGAATTTGGTAGTAATCGGATAAAGAGGAGAATGCTTATCTATCCTATCTCTGGTTAGTTCTTTCCTACACTAACAAACCATCATTTACTTTGAAATGAGTAGTGCTTTTCTATACAAAAATGTGAATGCTCCCATGCTCTTAACCAATAAGCATGCAAAGGGAAATTATAGCTTCTCTTTTTATTTTTTTTTTGGCTGGGGCTGGCTTTGAACCCGCCACCTCCTGCATATGGGGCCAGTGCCTTACTCCTTTGAGCCACAGGCACCGCCTAGCTTCTCTCTCTTTTTTTTTTTTAATTAAAGGGTGAGGTGGCTCATGCCTATAATCCTAGCATTCTGAGAGGCCGAAGTGGGTGGATTGCCTGACCTCACAGATTTGAGACCAGGCTGAGCTAGAGTGATACCCTGTCTCTTAAAAAAAAAAAAAAAGGCATTGTGGTGGGTGCCTGTAGTCCCAGCTACTTGGGAGGCTGAGGCAAGAGAATTGCT